CCCCCCCCCCCCAACCCCGTCTTCTCCTGTCTCTCCCATCATTTGAGAACATCAGTCCGCCAACATCCCGGCGTTGCCTTGGGGCTGCTTCCCCCATCTTAACGAAGGAGCAGGCCCATGTGGAGGGTTGCAACGGCCCTCACCCATGAATCACCCATAGGGTTTGTGCCTGATCCTTGGCCACCTCCCAGAAAATGACAGCTGCCAAGATGGCAGCTGGAGGGATGGTGACTTCACACCCGGGAGACAGGGCCGGGAGCTTTGAGCTCAGTGACCTTTTAGGAAGCAAAGTGTTGCCCAGCAGACTGAGCAGGAGCCTCCCGGCGCTGCCCGAGCCCCACGAGCGCAGCTGTTAGCTGGCTCGTGCAGCATGCACGCACCGCTCCTGGTAGGTGGGTACTCTGCGCCCTTCCATCTCTCTGAGCAGCCAGCCTCGAGCCCACCGCTCGCTTCACCCGGCACCGGGGGCCACGAGCTGCTGCTCTGCCTCTTGTTGGGAACTCATGGCCTGGCTCCCATGCTCTCGTGCCCTAACCTTGGCCTCATTGCCGAGGCAAGATGATCCTCAAGCCGTCCTTGGGAAAATTGTTCCTCCCATTGCTGCCAGGCCTAGCCCTCCGCTGTGGGCGCCAATGGTCCAGCTGAACTCTGGTTTCTCTGCACTTCTCTTCGCACCCGTTTTAGCCTGGCGGATCCTCTGGGTCTGGTGACTTAAGTAACTAGATGTGCTGCAGGTCTCTTCCTGTGTAAAACAGAAACTCCTGGATCTTCCTTGTACCTCGGTGCACCTTTGCAGACGGTTCTGCTCTGAGCCCTTCCCCATGTGTCTCAAACAGATTGAGGTTTGCATCGGGGCCTAACACAGCCCAGTTGCTTGGCTCATCTTGTGCCTGCCCTTTCCAGATTTCTTGCCTTCTGATAAACTGCATGCTCCAGCCCTCGGCCTGCCTTGCTTTGCCTTTCTCTTGGTGCTCTATTAGCCTTTAAGCCTCTTCTCCCATCAGTCAGCCAGGTGGTTGGCATCCAGCCTTTCTGAGCCAGCTCCAGCCCCACTGCCTTTCCCTAGAGATCCAGGCGCGTGGGTCTCAGTCCAAAGCCGAGTCCTGAATTGGTACTTGAAGAAGAGGGGTGGGAAAGGTCCATCTCCCTGGTACGATGCCGCCGCTGTGACTTTGGTCAGGGTACGCTGGGTGGCACACCGCACGTGCCCATGTAATTTGGGGGGTGGCTTTTTTTTTTTTAACTCGAACCCCAGCGCTGCTTCCCTCGGGGTGTCTGTGCTGGACCCTCTGCAGTACCAACCAGGCCTTACTGTCAGGGTGGGAGACAGCTCGCTCGGGACCCAGCATTTTTCTCCACCATGGCTGGTTTGGGAGAGATGGATGCTGCACGGCTTCAGTGGAGGAAGGTACCCGCTGCAGGGAAGCCCGGTGTTGCCTAGCAACAGGCTTCCCGGCAGCATCCATCAGCATGTGGCACGGTGCCGGTCCTCTCCAAGATGGTGTGGAGCATGCCCCCCGCTCCGTCCCCATCCCATCCAGTCGGGCGCTCTGCCCCGGGAGGACGAACCGAAGCCCGGCGGTGCTGCACTTTGCTGCTGACAAACACAGCTTGGCTTAGTCCCTTTTGCTTCCAGGTGCTCCGGCACCAGCTGCTTTGGCAATTAGGCAGGTGCTCACAGGTCTTGGATCTTCCCCTGCGTCTCCTCTGTCTGGGAGCGGGTGCTGTTTGCTGCTTCCTGGTTCAAAGCACTTGTGTGTCCTCGGTGTTTTTGGAACTCCACACCGCAGGCGGCAAAACAGCTTTTGCTTGCTCATCCATGAGCTGGGGGGAATTCAGGTGGAAGAGACAGGTAAACACTGGGAGGAAAACCAACAGCATGACCACATGGGGTTTCCAGGCAGCCGTAAGTGGTAGCAAGCCACTGTTGGAGTACAAGTCGGCACCATACCCCCAGCATAGGATGCTCTAGCAGATATGGGGGATGCAGGGACCTGAAATCCTCCTGCCTCCAGGAAGGCAACAGAGGGGAATTCAGACTGGGGGGTGGGGGCAAGAAGTGAAGGCCTTCAAAGCTGTGGGGCACCTGTCTGGGGGACCCCCAAGGGCAGAGTGAGAGAAGGGGGTGTGGGAAAAGCTGCATCCAGAGGTGCTGGCAGCTTTTCACACGCACTGCTCTTTCACCGTGCCCTCTGCTCCCGCTCTGTTTGCCTTCTTGCTCCCATGCCCCCTTGCTGGCATCTCCCAGCTGCATGGTGCACGTGTTGCTCTGCATCCAGTCTCCGTGGCACAGACCATGGTAATGCTTTCCCTGGTGCCTGGCAGTTCCTCTCTCCAGAGCTGCCACAAGCACTGACCCACATCCCTGCCCCCTGGCTTTCCCCCAATCCTGCTGTTGCCTTTCTTTGCTCCACTGGGGCTTGCATGTGCCGAGCGGTCTCAGTGCTGCTGTCTCTGGACTCCTGCCTTCTCTCCGGTTCTCTTTCCTGGGTGGCAGCGCCCTTCTTTGCAGAGCCAATACTACCACCTCTCTGCCTGGCCCCTTCATCCTTCTCTGTCCATGGGCCCGTTCTCTTTTCTGGTCTTGCCTTCCACCAGCAACGCGCTGTGGGCAGGAGGCCTTGTAGGCACCCTCTGCATTCAGGTCAACCCCTTCTCTTGGGATTAGCATTTGTGCCTGAGGTTGGCCCAGGTGATATTCGAAGTCCCTTGCAGCCCTGTGATACTGCGATTCTTCCCCCGTTGCTGCAGCCAGCAGCTCTGGGTTCACCCCCTTTGCCCCCATGCTCTCCTGGAGCCTCTTTGAGTTGGCTGGGCAGTGAATCACCTTGCTCCCGGGTTCACTCAGACCCTCTCCTCCCCTCACCTCCAGAACAAGACCGGTGTTTCCCTTGTGCACTCCTCTCTTTGCCACGGACTGTGCTTGCTCCTATTAATGAACTAGGCAGAAATCACTTGCTCCCAGAGGCTTGAAAAGAAAATAAGCAGCCCAGCCCTGTTCCTCTTCTGCTAAATAGCCTGTGAGCTCACCTGCTTCAGAGGGGGGCTGTGGTCTAAGCTGGGAAGCGAGTACCCCAAGCTTATGGGAAAGCATCTTATCCCTACCTGGTACCCAGTGGAAGCTGTTAGGTAGGTGGATGCCATCCTTCAGAGCCAGGCTTACCCCTTGGGGAAGGCAAGAGGGGGTTGGACTCCATTTCCTGGACTACAGGCTGTTCCTCCCTTAGCTTCGTGCCCTGGTACCCAGCAGGCTCTCGGCCCTGCCCACACGCCCCCGGGCAGCCCCATCCCTGCACAGCTTGGTTTGCACCTACTTTGGCTCAGCGGCGGTCGCCCCGGGCGGCGGTGTCTCACCCCAGCTGGTTCTCATGTACTGTACCTGCCACCGTTTTTTTATATATATATATATTGAGATGTATTTAATGGTGAAAGGAGAAAAAAAGACAAAAAAAGAAATGATGCAATCGTGCATTTGTAGAAATATTTTTTAAAGAAATACTTTTTTCAATTAAATTATTTAAGAAATTTTATGGAGCTCTTTGCTTGCCGGTGTGGTCCTTGCCGGGCTGCTGTGCGGGTCGTGGTGCGGAGCTTGGCGCTGGGTGGGCCGGGGGAGCAGTTGCCATGCTGGGGTACACTGCTTGCTGGGGCGGTGCTCACCTCTTCCTGACGTGCACTGGCCATTTCATGTGGGACCTGCTGGATGTTTGATGCCCGTTGCGGAGAGGGATGGGCCATGTTGCAGAAGTGCCCAGATGTGTACTGCAGGGGTTGGCACATGTTTCCAGGCAGCAGCTTCCAACCCAGCCCTCCCTGTTCTGTGCCATGGGCTGCTCTCATGTCCCCCTACTGCCGGCTTCACTTATGCCAAGTGCCACCGCTCTTAATGGCAACAGGGAGCGGCAAAGGGGACACGGGCCAAGAAAGCAGCCCTTGGCATAGAGCAGGGAGGGCTGGGGTAGCAGCAGGCAGCATGGCACAGGGTGGAGAAAGTGCCCCCACTGCTACAAGCTGCCACAGACCAGCTCTGTTGTGCAGTTGCTGACCCCTGGCGTACCGCATTTGGCAGCAAGTTGCTGTGCTGCCCGGGTTTGCAGCATTGGCAATACAGCCTCGGTGCCCCCATACTGAAACCCTTCCAGCGCCTAGTCCCCTCTCCTGCCTCTGCCACCCCACTGCCCCCCAAAGCATTGCACCGCCGAGT